TCATGATTAACTGAATCAAATGTCTTAGAGAAGAGAGACTGATAAATTATTATCCGAAAAAGTTAATAAGATCATAACCAACTTTTAGGACTGAGGTAGCATTTTCTGAAGACCAGTGTTCCTCCACAACATTGACCTAAACCCATTGTGAATTAGATCATTTACCTCCCAGTCTTTGCTCTTCAAACTTCAAACCAAACTACAGCAGCTCATTCTGGCGCTAACCCCGAATCGGCTAATCGATTGTCCTAAAGAGAGCCTGGTTGGCCCAGTCCAAAAGGTCCATTTGGATCCTGATCAATGGTGGAGCTCAATCCCAGCTGACCCAGTTTTGACTCTCGTTCTGTTGGCTGTTAAATATGAGAAACGGTTATTTAACGCCGAATGTTTGGAGCCCAGAATGAAGCAGTGATGATCCCAGTCGATGGTGCAGAGCGCCTCCTGTGGAGGGGTAATGATGCAGTAACGTGATTTGAGACGGGCCACTGAACCTCAGTCCCGTCAGCCAAACAACAACAAGCTGCTGAGAGGTTTTCCCATTGAGAACTCAACTTTCATTAAAATCTACACCAATCTGTGGAATGACTCAGGAAACATCGTGTTTGTTCTCCTGATGAGTTTTGAGAACATTTTGTTTTGTTTGTGTTAGTTTGAGGCGTTTGGATTATTTTCTCCTGTAATTAAGAACCTGTTGTTTGGTTTGTGTTGGTTTTTGAAGGTTGAAGTTCATCTGCAGGGTTTTTCCAGACCACTTTTAATTGATTGGTTTATCTCCTTCTCTCTGATGAATAAAAGATAATGATTGTGTTTTCACCTTCCATGTAAATCTGCTCTTCATCTTAGAAAAACCGTGTTGTGAAAACCCCCTGTCATGCGATAGCCATTATGTCAACTATGTTGGAAACCAAGAGGTCTTTGTCTATTACTGAAAATCCGTTTTTTCATTTATTTACTTAGTTTTCACATTTGTCAAACTCCGTCTCCGACCGGCTAATTAGTCTCTTGTGATTCGTCCCAAGTCTCTGAAGTTTGAGATGAAAAGTCTTTAACTTTGAACTCCAGATGCATCGATATGAAAACTTGGTCCAATATTGATATTCAATATCCATATTACTGCGATAGTCAACATTTACCAATATTATAGATATATTTGACCCATTTGTCACTCAATCTTTGACATTGCCGACATTTTCTCTCTACATCAGTTATAAAACCAAACCTTCTAAGTTTATAGAGCCAAAAACATCTATCAAAGGTTGCCGTGGCAACAGGTGGTTGGTTCATTCACGCACTTCCGACTTGATTGTTTAAAGAACAATATGCTTTATTTCATATAAAAATAGAGACAAAACAATAACTAAAAATCTGTTACTACTGAGTTGAAAACTAAAATTAACTTAATCTGATGTTTCAAGTTCAAAAAGTAGTAATAAATAAATAAAAAAACAACCAGACATTTTCCAAACAAAAAGTCCTTCCACCATATTTTCCTGTATAATAAAATTATGTTGGTAACAATTTTTACCCTGATTACAAATTTAAAGTCTCCATCTGCATCTACAGGCCACATTTGCATCATTTTTGAACTGCAGATGACCTCAAAAAAATCAGCCTGAGGGCCACAAATGGCCCCCGAGCCGCACTTTGAGAATGGTGGATCAACTGTCATGTTTGCCCACCTGAATCCACCTTTCCTAACAAACCTTCCTCCAGGTTTTCCATCAGCCCTCAGCTTTCCTCTATGTCAGTATGAAGCTCAGCATTTCGTGTGTTTGAATGTAAACATGGAAGGTCAGATCTGCTATTGTTTCCTGAAACGATAAACGCGTCCAACAGCTTCGTCCTCTGCCATCACAGCGCGCCGTCAGATGCTGGAGCAAGGAGAAAAGAGTCAGACGGAGGCGACAGCGGCCCCGCGGCCCCGCGCTGCTCTCACGCAGGAAGTCTCACCATCAGCATCGACCGCTGAACGACGGATCCAGAACCACAGAGGTCAGCTCCTGTTAAATCTGATGGGGGGAAAACCTCTCTGGGAGAAATATCTGAGCGGGGCCAACCGGGAGGGGCCCCGAGACAAAACGCAAAGGAGGACGGATGATCATCGTCTGCAGCCTGCTGTGTCGGGCCTCTGTGGGCCGAGCGTATCACAGCTGCAGCAGCAAAACGGGACCGATCCCCTCCGAGAGCGACTCATTAGGAGGATTTAATGAAATCGCATCAGTGTGCATCATTCAGAGCCGCCGGACCGGAGGCCGCGGATCCACTTCAGCTCAGATTAGTCCGGAGGAGCCAACGCTGGGCACGAAGAGCTGGAGACTTCTCCGGCAGAGGAAATGATAGCAGCACAACATGCTGGAGTTAAACAATCATCAGCAAAGAGTCAAATTATGTCATGAAAGAGGAATCGGATCAGGCTGGGTCTGCTGTGGAGCCCGTTCTGGTGTCCGAACCGTCAGAAGGTAAAGAGAACAGGTTTGGTTCAAAACATTCGATGACTCAACGCTCCTCTAAAATGGTGAAGGACAAACTGACCAGAGGAAGAATGCAGAAGAGCGAGCAGCACATTTTACTGAAATATCATAAATGGAAACAAAGGTTTGTTTAGGAACCATTCCTGGGTGGGTTGAGTTGATGCAATGCGGACTCTGAAATACACCAAAATGACCTATGACCTCATATTTTTTAAATATTTGAGTGTAGTTTATCTTGACTTAAGTCCAACAAAAATTAAAAACACGTCACTTTATGTGTGCATATCTACTTAACATATAAAGTTACAATACTGCAAAATATGCATTCATTTAAATAACCAAAAATCTTTGTGGACCCCAAAACATGCCGCCCTGGGCTAGTGCCGATCAGATTAAAAGAAGCTTTAATAAAACAGATAAATGATCAATATTAAAGTTTTAAAAACATAAATGACAAAAATAATAGCCTTAAAATAATAAAACAATAGTTTTAAAAGAATAATGATAAAATTGGTGGTTTTAAAAAATAGAAATTATGTCTTTGGAAAAATTATAAAAATAAAAGAAATTAATAATGATAGCTTTAAAAAATAAATAATTAAAATTATATATTTAAAAACTGTTTAAGTTCAGTCTGATGTCAGAGTAAACGTTGTCAATATTTGGTTTCGACTTTTCCAGGCGTCACAAACGTCTTAAAAAGCCTCGACGACCAGAGGAAGCATCTCTGTGACGTCAGCAGGCAACAAAACATCAGTTTCCTCCAACACCAGCAGCCCAGAGACGGGCTGGAGGGTCATACTGGGAACCAGGAAGTGACCTCTGGATGTCACAACGGCTCCACCCTTCAACACGAATCACATTCCTGCTCGAATCCTCCATGATTTCTGACCTCCGTTAAGAGAAAGGCTCATATTTCAGCCTTCAGGCGGCTTTTAAAAAACAACTTTGGTTCCTTTCAGGATGAAGACTGAACACAAAGTCAGAGGAAATGAAACAAAGATCCGACAGAAACACCAGAAGGATCGATCGATCGATAAATCGATCTGCCCAACAGGAGCAGCTGCGCCTCCTGCTGCTTTCGCTAAATGAACGGCCAATTAAAAGCAAGCAGGTGAAACCAATGGGAGGTTCTGGATGCGGTCGGTCCCGCTCCATACGGCTCAGATTAGTGTTTGCTTCTCAGGATCTGAGATTTCAAATGCCAAATTTATTGAAATGTCAGAAAACAGCTGCGGGAGGAGAAATGATCGCTGACATTTTAATGCCACTGAGTAAATGACTCCGGTTTTTTCCTTTAGTTTATTGGCACAGCTTGAAGTTTCAGACATTTAGTAAATCGTTGCTTTTCCTAAAAATAAAAAAATGGTGGTTTATTCACATGTTAGTGAATTATCCGAACCGTTTTTCATCATGGATGATGACAGTGACCTCACAAAGATGGCGGCCAGAACACGGATGCTGTTTGCAGGATTATCTGGAGGTCCTGACAGGTTTGAATCCTGAATGTGTTCGGGTTAAGAGCAGAACGTTTTAATTTATCTCTAAAATGTTCTGCTGCTCTGTGGAAACTCATAATAAAACATTTACATTTTCAGTGTTTCAGCAGATTTACATTTTTTTCTTCTCAAGCATTTTATGCTTCAGCTTCCTCTGTGAGCCGCCTTCGATCCTGGACCTGGACCTGGTTGAGCCAACCGGGTCAACCAGGTCCAGTATCCCTCACATTACCAGACTGGTTTACAAGAAGTCTAACACAACTTCCTGTCAACATAACCAAACTACAGCCATGTGCCCAGAATCTCACAGTCTTTGTTGACACTGAACTGCTGTAATCATAAGTCAAAACACAAGAGGAGAATATGATATAATTCATTTGAGTGCCATTTCAAATTCAAATCTCATTTAATTGGGCAGAAAATGAATCCTAAACACTTTTTGTCAGAAAAGAAAAAAACATTTTTTTATGCAGTTTTTCAATGCAACACTTATTGAAGTCCACAATATCTGTGAGATATAACTCCTTTGAGTGATTCATGCAGAAATTACATTTCACTGGGCAGAAAAAGATAAACAAGACAAATGTTTGTCATTGTTGTGAACATAGCTTGTCTAAAAAACTAAATGTCTGATAAAAACATTCAAAACGACTCGATGAGGCGCTCAGTCAGGCTGAATGCACTCCGGGGTTTATGGTGCAACACCTGGTTGGCTCCCGCTGTCGGCAGCATTTCTTATAAAGTTAGTGACAGAATGTGGAGAGGAACAGGAGTGTTTTTAAAATTATTATACTAAAAAAACAAAAAACGGTATAATACTAATATGGGAGGAAGGCAGGAAAGGAGTAAAATAGGTTATTTTAATGTTGGTTAAAGCACAAATCATGTAATTGGGTGAAAGATTTCAAAGTTTGTCCCAAAAGCTAATTAAGGTCCATGTAATAAGGTTGCTTTCCCAGACATGAGGAGCACAGAACAAATAAGTGACTCTGCTTGAGGTTATTTAGCTACTTAATGAGGAGGGTTTCACCTGCAGGCCTGATGAGCAGCGAAAGCAGCAAAAACATCTTGAATCTCACAGTTGGTGCTTCAAACGCTCAGCTCAGTGACACGCGCCGCAGCCAGGCCTCTCTCTGCTCCCTGGGACAAAAATAGAGGTGCTGCAAGTTACAGGAGAGTGAAAAAAAAAATGGAGTGATGAATAAATCAGCGGACAGAGATGCAGATTTAAATGAAGACAGAAAGAGAATGCATTAGAGAGGGAAGAGGCGGCGGGACGGAGCCGATCCCGGGGAGAAGAGTAAATAAAAGGAGCATGTTGAACATTAATCAGCTCAGCTGGCTGAGGGATTTTTTAGCTGTAAAGGTATGAAAAGAGAAGCTGAAATATTCAGAGGTTAAAAGCAGAGTAATCTTCATACCGTCAGTGGTAAAGCAGCAGATTTACTGCTTCGTGCTTAAATAAAGGACAGACAGACGGCAAGCTGGACGGTGAAAGGTTCAGACTGATAGCTGCTCGCCATGTTTCCACTAAAAAGCTCAGATCAAACCTCATCTGTGGAATTCATGCTGAATTTATCGAAGATAAATATAGTCTGACACCGTAAAGTAAACGGACTGTCAAAGTTTATCTTCCTAAGCAGGAGCAGAGAGGAGATTTAAGACCCAAAATGGTCAGTCAGACGGCAGGACGCGGCGCACGGCGCAGACAGGAAGCCGCTTCCATGAAACCACAGGAAGTCCATGGATAACAGAGGAAATTATTAATCTGACATCACAAACTAACAGATGAACGTTTTACTGCACATGTTGGAGCAGAGAGGTCTGAACTCTGATTATTTTAATGATATTTTAATGAAAACCTACAAAAAAAATCAGGTGCAACACCAAAGGTTGAGTTATGGACTCTATTTCCAAAGAGTTGGTAAACTGCACAAGTTTGAATTACAAAAAATTAACTTTCTCAATGGAAACGCCAAAATTTTGAGTTTTTCAATATAAAGTTTTTGCGCTGGGATGAAGCGTTGTTATTCAGCTGCATCTAAATGGGTTTCTTTCAAAAAAATGCAATGAAACACTTTTTTCACATCACACGAGTCACATGATGAACAACCAGATGTTACTACTGGCAGAAACGACAAAGAAGACGACAGGAAGAAGATGGCATCGCATGTTTTTTAATAACTTATTCATATGCGATTTTAATTGTGTTTCCAACATTATCAGAGCATCTATAAAGTTTTGTGCAGGTTTGTGATGGAAAAGCAGCTCATTAGGGTTCATTTCTGTCCTAAGATGGAGTCACACAAGTTAGACAGGAGCTTCATCTGTCTGGTTTGTTGTAGTAATTAGGTGAAATTGTCAATAAATCTACTTGTTTATGTTCCAACCTTCACATTCAGTCATCAGCTCAGGCAGAAAGTGAACACAAGTGGATAAAATTAGCTTCTTCTGCAGAGCAGTTAGACTCACAGGGTTAGGTTGGAAAATGATCTGCACTGAATCAGGTGATACAAACGATGAGGGTGAACAGGTTAAAGGTTCCTACTGGCCCTCAGCAGCGGCTCCCCCTGCAGGCCACCTGGCTGACGGTTTGTGTTGCTGCGTCGCTTAAAGCTGAGGTGGACTGAAGTGAAACTAATTGGAGGAAGGAGGGAGAGGAGCCGTGACTCAGCCTGCTCACTGTAAATGTCAATACCGGCTGGCAGGTGAACGGCTTGGAGCTCCGCTCAGCCGGGTCCAAACGGATCAACGAGATTTTATACAATATGTACGAAGAGGCGCAAAGACAGGAGCAGATTTACACATCAGAACCGATCAAAACCCTCAAACCATCCAGGACCAGGCTGGTTTTCAACAGACGACCAGATTCTTCATTAAATATAAAAAACCTGTCATAATAACACGTTTAGCTGGACGATAAACTGCAATAAACGATAGCACTGCAGTTTTGGGACCTTTTTTAAGTAACATCATGGTAATAATAGCATAATAACAACAAGAACTTATTCTCAGATCATTAAACATTAAACTCTAATGAACATTTAACACTGGAGCTGGAAGACATTTTAAATATCCAACAGAACAACAAATAAAATGAAGAATAAAGTCTCTGTAACCAAAGCTGTCCTGCAAAGAAAGAGTCAGTTGAGAACAAAACACAAAAGAATAAATCATGCAAATTGAATTATTGAGTTTGTTTTAATTCATCATGTGATCAATTGATTTATTGCGTCAGACATACATAAAAGCAGATCTTTCCTTTCTTGTTATGTTTTTGTAAATTCCCAGTTTACTACAAACATAAAACATCCAGTAGATCACGCTAAAACATTCAGACACACTGGCAGTATAAGATCCGCCGACTGCAGGTCCAGACTGCAAATTATTTTCTCCAAATTCAATTAAGTAGCAAATTTATGGGCTAGAATGCAAAACTATCACAATAGCACGCCGCAAACTGGTTTCACACGACGAGGAAACATGAAAACCCAGAACCCTGAGGGTGGAAAAACCGAACAAATGGACTAAGAGCGTCAATAAAAGAGGAAAACATCTTTAACCTACATTAACCAGGCAAGGCAGCGTGCAGAGAGACAACAGAGCCACTGGCCATCTGGCTAATAGAGCACTCATAACCTCCGTGAACGTGGGCGGTAATAGGTTGTTGATAAGGAGACAAACAAGGCATTTTATGGCTTTATGTTCCCACCAAATTGTCTGTAACCTCGATCACAAAATCGGCTTTAATTAATTCCCCTGATAGATCCAGGAGGAGCGGGAAGATTGGCGCAGCAAGGATTAATGTGAAGCCGTGGAGAGGACAAGATAACGGAAAGGTGGGTCACAAATGAGAAGGGGAGAGAATTTTGATGAAGTGGAAATGTTGAGGTCTGAGCCGGTGAGTCATCCCAGTTCCCTGCTACATGTTTGACCTCTGCGGCTGGAAACCATTTACTCACAGCATTTGTTGCTCTTCACACGTCTAAAGAGACGGCGAACGATTGCCAAGAGCAGCTAATGAGAAAAGGTTGAAGCAGAACTGAAGGTAAAGCTGCACAGCCTGAATAAATTGGGCTCTTTGTGTTGGTTGACACGGCGGACGTTAAGCGCGACCTTAATTAACCCTTTCCACCTCGTCTCCAGCTCTGGGTTCGCTCTGACTGACAACACGCTCCAACGGGCGCCACACCTCGCCGCGCCGCCACACCGCGCCGCGCCGCCACACCGCGCCGCCACACCGCGCCGCGCCGAGCATCAGGAAAACCACGTCAGTGAACATAAACATTTAAACGCAGAGCAGAACCAGCCACCCAACACCTAATGCAGCAGACATTATGTAAGCTGATTACGCAACAAGCAGTGTAAAACTTTTTAGGAGAATATTTAAAGTGATCAGGTGTTTGGTTCAGGTAGAGGCTCTTTCTGCTCCAGACCGTCTCACCACTAACACCTGAAACTGAGGACTGAACACACCTGAGGCAGCGAGGAGGAAGGTGAGACGCGCCTGAATCGACTCTCCGCCTGGGAAATGTTCGCTTGGAAAGAACTGAATAAAAAAGCTTCAGCCTGAGAGGACATCTGGCTCCAACACCCCACTGTAACCAGAACATTTTAGTTTCCTCCAGTACTTTGGTTTTATGTTCAGCTGCAGAAATAAACTCTCACAATTGACAAGATCCTGCTGACAAAATTTTATGATTTATTTTCATATTAAGTTTCAAACCTTTCACAGCTTTTGTTAAATAACATCTAAATGACTTTCCTTTTTCTCCTCATTTTCTGCTGTTTAATTAATAATTCACTCTTCCTCGTTCATGTTTACACTCGACAGTTTGCTGCATTAGCGCCCCCTGCTGGTCCTGGATTTTGTGTTGCTTTCTTAAATCCAAACTCTCAGTAAAAACGTATCAAGAACGCCCACTACAGATGGTTTTCCCACTCAGAAAGTCGGATTTCACCCAGTAAACTCAGAAATATCTACCGTATTTTCCGCACTATAAGGCGCACCTAAAAACCTTCAATTTCCTCAAAAGCCGACAGTGCGCCTTATAATCCGGTCCTCATATATGCACAATATTGAGCCACAACAGGACTAGCCACTACGGTAAGCAGCCACTGACGTCATTTTCCCCCGTAGAAGAAGAAGCGCGCGGTGCATGCTGGGATAGTTGTCAGAACGCTGGTTTGTTAATAAAGTTTGACCTATTTACCCATAGACATAGTTATAATGCTTATATTATGTCTATGTATTTACCTACTGACCATCTATAATCAGGTCGTCTGCAGGTCATTTAGCTCCACGTTCTCCACCAACATGCTGTGCGCCAACGGAGAAGGGTGACCATCGTCCGGCCACGCCCGGCCCAGGAAGGCTCTCCTCGCTGACCGGAGTCGGACTGTTTTGTTGACATTCTTTATGTCAACAAAGTGGCTTTAGACATTCATCGGTGCTTCGACTAGGGCTACCAAGGGACCAGCCCCGAAACATTTAAAGCCGGGAGGACAGAGACTGCGGCGGCAGCGTGTCGGTTGGTCTGCGTTACCCAGAAAGCAGTTGGGCACAATATCGCAACACCATGAGTGAAGCAATGACTGGGGCAGCCGACTATATAATGTACTCAGGGACCATGTCTTTATTATTACATATCCACAACTGTAGAGTACGTAGAGTGGCAACAGTAACTAGCATAATGCGGTGTGCCTTATATATGACAAAAGCTTTAAAACAGGCCATTCATTGAAGGTGCGGAAAATACGGTTCTGCTCCTTTCTTTAAGTGTGAATCCCATTAAACCAGCAAAATACAAAGAACTAAAATTAGTCAATAACTAAGTATTTAAATAAAAAAAGTATATTTTTATAGAGAGAGAGAGAGCACTTCCACAATCCCAGCAGTTTTCTAACTCCTAGTTTAAACGTAATTCCCAAATCAGCGCTCCGACTTCAGACACGCAGCATTACTGTCGCTCCTGCTTTTACTTAATCCGCCTCAGTGGATGGCTGCTCCGCATTTCCCTCGACGTGAAGACGGCCTGCTCACTTCTCAGCCTTACTGATGTTATTAAAGCGCCTGCTGATAATAATAACATCAACACATCAAGATTTTTAACCAAAATGTAACTGTTGTATATACTGCT